TAAAATATTCAAACCAAAATATTAAAATACTAAATTGTTAATAACATAAAGTAACCACTTATTTATTTGGCTTAGGTTTCGCGAAGAGTAATGATAGCAATTCTGATTTTTTGTTTTATTAGATTTTTACCAAATAAAGAGACCATGAATTGCTTTCTGGAGCAATGAAAAATGAAAAGGTTTAAATTAGTTTTGCTAGGTGTAAGTTAATTACAACTTAAAGTGTTGTTTCCTTCTTCTTGTTTTTTTTTTTTAAATTTCTATATTAGTATTCGATCGTAACTAAAATATGAAAATCAAAATAAAATACTAAAATGTTAATAATATAGAGTTACTGCTTATTTATTTGTCTCTGGTTTTGGAAAGAGTAATGATAGTAATTTTGAATTTTGGTTTTATTAGATTTTCACCGAAACTTCTAGGGTCAGAAATTTCTGTTTCGTTGGTGGCAATTAATTGTTAGCATTTTATTTATTGGGAGGTTTTTTTTTTTTTTGCCTGAATTTATTGGGAGGTAAAACAATAAATATGATGTACAACTAGGTTCTCCAAGATATTATTTTCAGCTTGATACACAAATACTAATAGTGAGTTTTTCTAATATAAAAAGCCTTAGTAGTTAGTTCTCCTAATGCAAAAACATCTGATTCAATAACTCGTGGAAGGCAGATATTAGGGTGTCTAGTTATTTTTTTAAATCATGTGAATGGTTTTTATTTGGGAAAATCACAAAAAAAGGACCCCTAAATTAGCAAAATAGCTAAATACACACTTGAATAAATTAAATTACTTGGAAAAACTAAGTCTAAAATTACAATTATGAAATGAAGCCTAAAAGACTAAAATGCCCTCCTCCTTCTCTTTCTTCCATCACCCTATCTCTTTCTCATCCTCTCCTTCTCTTTGTCGTCTTTGTTCTAATGCTCTTTCTCTCTCTCTCTCTTCTCTTTGTCCTTCTCTTTGTGGCCATGCCCACTGATCTTTATCACAAAAAAGTTGGTGACCCATTATTAATACTAGTTGACAAAAGTAATTAGATTCAAGTTAATAGCAACAGTGCTCTTGAGATGGTATACAAAATCAATATTGGAGAGAATGAGATTCTAGCTACCCAAGACATTACCGGTATGCTTCATGATTGGCATGGCATCACTGGTTATGGCTATGCGATGATGCCAACCTTACAAGATCTAAAAGATGATAGTTTTGATGCAAAGCTGATATGCCCAAATAATCTTCTCAACCCATTTATAAGACAGTCTGTCTTAAATATATTATTCATTGTTGAATTTGGATAGCTATATCTGGCAATCTGGGAGAGATTTCATGCCGAAGTTGAGAGCAGTTACTGATAAATTCCACATGCATACTTGTTATTTTATTTACTAAACTTGTAATTTTCATATGCATACTTATTATTTCCCTTACTAAAATTGCAATTTTCATATCCACTTTTCTTAATTTTTTTGGAGGAACGGTGTTGGTAGATGTGCACATCAATTTTTGTAAGTGATATGTTTGATGACAAGAAAATATTAAGTTAACAGACCATCTTAACATGCTCTTATCACTGAATATTGCAAAAAATGATTGATGTCAAACACATGTTGGTTTCTTATCATTTCACATACTATTATTGTAATTTCTCATTGTAATATTGTAATTGCGGCCTTGTTACTATGATGATAGTAACATTACATGATGATTTGGAAATAGTGGTATTTTGTTGACGAGCATAACAATGTCCTCATTTTGTATTTATCAGTTCCTAATAGTAACCATGTAGATGTGTTACATTTTCTGAAGTGCATGTCAAATTTGTTGCATTTCTATAGTCTAAAGTTGTAATTTTCCATTCATGAATTATTATTTGACATACTATACTTGTCAATGGTTAATCAAAAGTGGAAATCATGTTATTTACAAGAAAACTTAACTTAATATGAAATGCTTTTCATAACATTACATGATGATTTGGAAATATTGGTATTTTGTTGATGAGCATAACAATGTCCTTATTTTGTATTTATCAGTTCCTAATAGTAACCATGTAGATGTGTTACATTTTCTGAAGTGCATGTCAAATTTGTTGCATTTCTATAGTCTAAAGTTGTAATTTTCCATTCATGAATTATTATTTGACATACTATACTTGTCAATGGTTAATCAAAAGTGGAAATCATGTTATTTACAAGAAAACTTAACTTAATATGAAATTCTTTTCAAAACTTGGTATTTTCTTTTTAGTATACTTGTAATTTTTCATTCAAATGTGGAAAAAAAGTCACTTTAATACAAAAACTTAATTTATTATGAAATGCTTATCATAACTTGTTATTTTTCACACGACATTTATCATTGGCAAATTAGATGTGAAAATAATATCAATTCAAACTGAATATTTAATAATCTCAAATTCAAATGTCATTTCAGTAGCACATAACTGTGTAGTTCATAATAGACTTATCATTTCACATACTTGTTATTTTACATATTACACTTGTAATTTTTCTATCCACAATTGCATTTCACATACTAAACTTGTCATTTTTATATCCAAACTTGAAACTATAATAATCAATACAGACAATCAAAGTTCTTCACGCTTGATTTATGCATAGTACATATATACCAAAAAATTAGTTGTCTCATATCTAAATTAACTTCAAGATGAGTTATGATTTTTGCAAGTCTTCCTTATGCATCCAAATTGGTGGTATTTAGTGCAATAGTAGATTTTTTTTGTTGTCAAATTGTGATTTCCACTTTTAGTTCTTGCTTTCCCATATGAGCTATTCATTTCTTGTGACAGTCCTAAGAAATTCTCAATCCTACCGGTATAATAACAAGTTAGGATGCATATATTTTTAGTTATTGGAATAAGAATTATAGATATGAAAATTACAATTTATAATAAAAAATAACAAGTTTGAAATAGAGAATTTTAAGTTTGAAATAAGGGGATTACAAATTTGCAGAATTTCTCATAATCTTTCTTTTCTTTCTCGACAACCTTTGCAAAATCAGAAGAATCACCCATAGAACATCACAACCTTATACAAATTGGCTACAATGAATGGAGAATCAAACGACAAACTCAAAAAACAAAGAGGGTAAATTAAAAAAAATAATATTAAGCATACTAGGAGCAACGATGCTTGTTCCAAGCTATGGAATCAACCAAGCATTGTCTGAGACCAACTCAAAACTCAGGAAGCAACATGGAATTTCTCAAAATCTCAGAACGAAGCAATTGACAAAGCTGAAATAAGAAAACATCATTAATCCCCAACATTAAGCAAACATTTGAATTAAATTTGAATCATAATGTTTGATTGATCCTGAGTATTTTCATAGCACCAAACAATCCAAGTACAAACTAGTTTACTTTTAATTAAGCTCGACCGAGAAAACCAGACAATAAAAACCAAAACCTAAAATCACAGCTGGAGAAGAAGATGAAGCAGCAAGCACCATTTGAGAAATTAAAAACAAGAGGTTCCAAAACCAAGAGATTCTCCAGACATTTGCGAAGTCTTACTCCACCACCTCCATTTGTCGATTCGCTTCTTTTCTCACCTCCTTCGCGTATACTTTCTCTACCATCAACACTGAACTCTTTCTCTTTCTGAGAATGACGAAGAGAGGAAGAGGAAAAGAAAGAGGAAAGAGAAGGAGATGGGATTGACTGCTGGAAGACAAAGGAAAAAAAAGAAGATATTTGGTTTCTTAAGCAACATTTCATAATTTTTATTTAAAATCTAATCTTTTCAAGTAATTTTCTTTTATTCAAGTGTCCATCTCGCTCTTTTACTATTTCAGGAGTCTTTTGATGCGATTTTTTCCTTTTAATTTTTGTGTTGTTAAATATATTTGTTACCTTTATTTCTCATGTTTTGTCCATGCTTGTAACCAAACACGTTTTTTTACAACAAACTATGCTTCTCATTTGTTTTCAGAGGATAATAACTATAAGGAATTTTTCGGTCCAAAAAAAATAACTATAAGGAATTTCAACAAGTCAATTTTTATCATTTCTCTCTTATAGAAGAACAAATTCAAGTTTCTAAGCAGCCAATAATCTGAGGAGGCCCAAACAAATGAATCAACAAGTTCACCATAGAATTATCACGTTTCGTAAAAAATATAATCACTTATGCTTGAAAATGCTCAACATCATGATGTTTTTCTATTTCATATATTTCTATGTTCATTGTAATTGCTTTTAAATCAATTGACTCTAATTTTAATGCGTTTGTCAATAGTATTTTGGAAATGCATATGCTCATTACATATCACAATATACAATCAAATCATTATTTAGTACTATTTATAATACCATTTCACTCATGACAAGCTTAGAAAGCCACCTATGCATGCTTTGCGCCCAATCATTTTGCATAGTTGATCTTTATTGCTATTTGCTGCCGCTGACATTGTTTGCCAAGCTCAACGCGTGAGAATTTTGCCTAGTTCGGGTGGAAAGGCATGAAAAAACCTATAGATTTATTTAGAAGTAAAAATGAAATAAAAAATGAAATTACCACTTTTCGTTTTCTTTTGTGAGTCAAATTCTTTTCTCCACTTTTTATCAACCTTTTGCATAACTTAGTTGCCCAATCCCCATTACCTCATTCATGAAAAAAGAAACAAAGTGATTAAATACACAAAAATATTGACGAAAAACATTCAGCATTTTAAAATTGTTTTTACTTTTATATATTCTGAAAGTTTTATTTATTAGCATTTTTATCATGAATCATTATCTTCCTTTTAAGTTTGACCATAAAAAAATACTGATCAAATTATATAATTTAACACTCAAACTTAACAATAAATAAGATATAGTATTTTTTTACTATGAAAAGAAACTTTTACAACATATAAAAGTTAAAAAAAAAAAAAACTCTAAGGCGTGAATACTTCCCAAACATCCATATCCCATTTTTTTGAAAAAGGAAGAAAGATGAATATAACAAACCCCTTGATTGGTATTTAACTCAAACTTCACTGTTTCACTGTTCCTTGGCGCTCGTCAATGGAGTCCGGGGCTGGGGATACCGATGCATCTCGGATTCTTGCTGAACTTGAGTCGTTGAGGGAGGCAAAGAGTGTTATAGAGCAAAGAATTTCTGTACTTGAGGGTCAACTCCACGATATTAATCTCCGCAATGACGTATCGAACTGCGACTCGTGCTCTCCTACCTCCGTTCTCAATTCGAGCTCCGCGAACGGATTGTCCCCGGATATGATTTACAGATACAGCCGCCAGCTGTTGCTTCCTTCTTTCGGCGTTGAAGGTTTTGTTTTAAGTTTTTTTCCCATCTCTTGAGTACTTTTTGCTTTTGGATTATACATCTGTAGATGACTGATTCACTCTGCTATGACTTGCTTATGCGTTTATATAATTGAAATTTGTTACATGGAGTTGAATATAGACAAGTCGAGTAGAATATGTAACAACGGTTGAACGGTTTTACTTTAGTTGGATCAAACCTGGTTCTTAAAAGGTTGGTATTCAGGTCAACTTTTTCTGAGACCAAAGGAGAAACTAGTCCAACAATTGAAGATATCAGTTATCGCCACACTAAATTATTTCAGTTTAATCGGCATTTTGATTGCTGCCTTAACTCATAAATGTACTTTCTTTTCACTTTTTAACAAGATGCTCATAAGTACACATCATGTCAGCAGGATCGGGATTCATTAATACAATTAATTAGGCAGAGCTATGAAAGACATTATGGCTAGGCTTAAATTTAATGCTTACTGGCTTAAATTTCAATACAAAAGTAGGGGTAATAGCTCTATAGATTGATTTAGGACTTTGTTAACTCTTTTCATATTAGAAAAGAAAAGTCTTAATTACTTCTGTAATTGGGACATTGAAGATGAAATAATATTTTTTTCTGGGATGGGACTACTTCTGACTCCGGTCTATGGATTATTGATTTGGATTTTGGAGTATGACTTATCTCTGCCCATCATGTTCAGGGCAGGCAAATCTCTTGAAGTCATCCATTTTAGTCGTGGGAGCTGGAGGCTTGGGTTCTCCTGCCTTGTTATACCTTGCGGCTTCTGGGGTTGGTAAGAAGCAGTCATATTATACATAATGCCTTTTACAATATTCTTCACCGTTCATGGATCTTACTTTTGAGCAAATTTTTTAGGTCGGCTGGGTATTGTTGACCATGACCTTGTTGAGCTGAATAATATGCACAGGCAGGTACACCTTTTATTATCGATTTATCTTTTGAAGGACCACACCAAATATAAATTGATAGCTTGCACCTAATTTCTTTTGCTTTATATGTCTGTTTATATGCTCACATGGTTGTGCTTCTAGTTCTTGAAATTTCATGAATATATCTTTCCGGCTAATATATTTTAATTTCAGGTAATTCACACTGAATCATATATTGGTCAGCCAAAAGTGAAATCTGCTGCTGCTGCTTGTCACAAGTATGTTCCTCTCTCACACATTAAATTTATCACATTGAGTTTCAAGTTGAAATTGAATTATCTGACATTTATTTTAGTAGCCTGTAAGAATTTGGTCCTGTACGTCGAAGTAACAAGTTCTGTATGTCAGGATCAACTCCACCATTCAAATTGTGGAACACAAAGAAGCTTTGCGGGCTACCAATGCATTACAAATTCTGAACCAGTATCCATCCTATACAGAATATCATCTTCTTTTATCTGTTGGACCGCTCAAGCTCCATCCTTCTTCATGCTTACCCTTTTCCTTTTACTCTGATAATGATGAACTGAATTTTTGTAATTGTCTCTTTGAATTGGAAAAGAAATTGGAGAAAAAAAATCTGTTTTTTATGTGAAAATTTTGGCATTTTCCATGACTGAGGATTTTCAAGATATGACATAATAATAGACGCAACAGATAATGCTCCAAGCCGCTACATGATCAGTGATTGCTGTGTAGTTTTAGGAAAGGTAAATATTGCTTCTTTGGTGTATGAACAAATGGTGACCAACTAAAGACAGATTTGGTGGGCCTCTTGTTCCTTTAACATTTTGCTTCTCTATGAATTCACTTTGTAACTCGGCAGATTTCTCTGTGTTTGGGGTTATAAGCATGAGTAATACATCAATTAATTTAACTGAAAAGATTCTGCTCTTTCTATTGAGAATCTGATGCAAATCAGTTTTAGTTTCCATGAAAAATGTCCAGGATTTGAGGGTGACGTTTTTTTCCCCTCTCCATTGATAAATTTAGATAATTGATTTTATGCATGAAAATAAAGTGCACATCACAATTGTTCGCTGCTCCTCTTTCTCCGATGTATAAATATGTATGTAACATGACTTGTAGGAAAATTCAAGCAATTATATTTGCAGGTTCTTCTGCTGATTAAGTTTATTTGTATGAATGCAGCCTCTTGTATCAGGTGCTGCACTGGGTTTGGAAGGCCAGGTACACTCCATGCTAAAATAATTTTTGAGCTTTTAAATTCTGTGTTGTTTTGAGACAAATTTTCTCCAGAGTAAGTATTGCTTTCAAGATGAATTTCCAGCTTTTAATTTGAAGTTTCATTTTGTAAACTTTTCTTCCTACAGCTCACTGTCTACAATTACAAGGGTGGTCCATGCTATCGATGTTTATTTCCAACTCCTCCACCTGCTACAGCTTGTCAAAGGTGTGCTGATAGTGGAGTTCTAGGTGTAGGTAAAAATCGTAGTTCTTTTGTTACCAATTTGGTTTAGTCTCACACTACCAATCTTCTAGTTATCTGCTCTAGCATGAACTGTGTCTGATAAAACTATATTTTTGTCATTTTATGTACTGGTGTTCATTATTAGATTACAGTCATATTATGTTGAGTGGCCAAAAATATTGTCTAATTTCTTTCCTTTCCAAAAGAAAAAATTACTTAAAACATAGAATTGTCATTATTTTTAGGCAACCCAAATCCAAGATTGATAAAATATTGAGAGCATACGGAGAGAGAGAAAAAATTAAGAGGGTATCAATAGGGATAAATGGAGTCCAAAAGAGATATGCGTTAAACCAGTGTAATCTTTAGGAAACTTCCATTGTAAACTTGTTAGTGGGAATGTGCTTTTTGGTCGGACTGAAATAGGGAAGGAAAAAAAAAAAACAGTAGGTGGGGAAATTTCATATCCTTTCTAATTAAAATTTGTATATGTATCACCAATAAAAAAAATTGTATATGTATTGATTAACCCAAATCAAAGACATCATACGTGTACCCTTTTGATTTTCCCCCTCTAATAAAATTTTCCTTGTTTTTCTGACATTTGTCTTATCATACAACTTGCACTCCTTCTCATTTGCACCTTAAATTTTGTGTGCTTCTGCTACTTGTTCTGGTTTCCTGACATTTGAGTTTGTTTACCTATTTTCAGTTCCTGGTGTTATTGGTTGTCTCCAAGCTTTAGAGGCCATCAAGATTGCTGGTGCTGTGGGCGAATCACTCTCTGGAAGGATGATTCTCTTTGATGCTTTGTCTGCACGGATCCGTATTGTATGCTTACCACTCCACACCTAGCTATTGTATGTTTATAACTGTGTACTTATGTTGAGCCATCAATTTTGAAATTTCGATAGGAGATGGATTTTTCTGTTACACTAAATGAAAAGAAGACAGCTACAAATTTGTGGGACCATGGCCCCAGATTCTGCCACCAAAAATTCTGTGAAGAGGGAACCAGAAAAAGGAAACAAAGTAATCTGATAACATGCCCGAAATCATTGGCTGGAAATCTAGGAATTTATCAGTTGATTATATCCCGTAAAATATGTAAACTATAAAAGGAGCAGGCCAGTTTTGCACATAAGAGGAAAAACACCTATTTTGAAAGTTGACATGAGGGAAAAAGAGCAGTTGGCTCTTAGATGCACTTGAATACTAGCTTAATTCCGTTATTTTCTTGAAAATAATGCCTTGAGGCATTTATTCTCTGACACCATCTCTTAGGCTGAGGAATAAATATCTAACACTCCCAACTTTTTGGCTTCATTTGAGGTATGTCTTGGTAAGGATATGAATAACTTGAGGCTGAGTTGTTTTATGAAGTATTTGAGCTTCAGTATAAAACTGTCGTGGTGATAAAAATTTAAAGCTTTAGTATAGCAGCTTCTAACTTTTCCTTGATGAGATGCTTTTCTTTTTCAACGTGTCTAGTTTAGTGGTTTATGAAAATATATTGCATTAGGATTTGGATAATTGGCATATGGCCTTTCATTCTTGACATTTGAGTTCAGTTTTCTGGTTAATGCTTTCCTTTGTATTCCCTCAAAAAAGAAAAAAAACAAAAAAGTCTAGTTCCATCAGGCTGATCAGAATTCTTTTTCATTGTATATATTTGACATTTATACATTTCTTTATATGTATCTTAATTCTTCCAATAATCTCTCCAGCTATAAAACCTCAGGCATGCCATGAGGAAGGGGAGGAGCCTTGGCAAAACGACAAAAATATAATGCCATATTGCCATTGTCAAAGTCAAAGAGACCTAGACAAAGGGGTTCAATAGATTCTCTCATGAAGAAGTATAAGTTAAGAATAGATGGCAACCTACAAAAAAGAAATGTGATTAGTAAATTAACAAATCTTATAAAGAGAAATGAACTAAACAATAAAATATCAACTCAATCAACCCCCAATACATCATTTCATATCCTATTTATAGACCTACCTTTCTCATTATTTACCTAATTACCCTCACTATTACTATTACCACATATCAATATACTCCCCTCAACAAGAGATCCTTGTCCTCAAGGATCACTACAAAAGGAGAAAATAAAAAATAGATTTAGGATAAGACTTTTTTTTTTTTTAATAAGAAAAAAATTAGTGGACATCAAAACCCAAGCATGTTGCAATCTTCTTCAGTCCAAAGGCCCCATCGTCATGTTCCATATAAGCCCATGTGATGATCCCCATTGCGACATATAACATGCACCCACATCCATCCACAAGCCCTTAGACCCATATACGTTAAAGGCCCAAATAGTATCCAAATTGTTGGGTATAGCACCACCATGATGAACCCCATTTTCAATAGGTTTCTACTTACTACCACGTGACATTGACCTTAACTACCTTTGGAGCCAATCCTCGCGAACGCACGTTGTTGGAACAGGTTCAGTAACTCCCAACAATAATTTGAAGCCCATGATTACTTGCACAGGTTTTTCCGACCTGTCTCCTCCAACATCCCTACCCGACCCAAATTCAAAGCCAACACCGTCTGTGAAGATCCATTTCTTGCTATCATCAATCGACATCACTTTCCGAGCAATGTGGTCGGAACCCCTGCGATTGTTAAGTGACACGCATGGCTCTGATTAACGTAGAGGAGTGTGCATGAATGAGGAGAAGAATACTTGTGGTGGAGAAGGAGGTATACAATGCTGTTCATCGCAACTTTCCCATCCTTGCACTAGCGAACTTTGAAACCCAAAGGGAGAAGAATTCTCTTTGAAAAAGCTAGAACGATGAACCCGTGATGCAAACAACTTCGGTGAGTGAGGTGATGGTCAAGGAAGACAAGGATTAGGATTAGCATGGCTGTGCATTGTAAGTCAAAATTGAAGATGAGCGTGGCATTTGCATTACTCGGCATCTTAATTGGAGAGATAAAAAATATTTGATAACACACAAATGGCTGGAATGCTGAGAAGGACAAAAATGCAGAAGACAGAGGCGCCCTTGCGGTCATTGAGAACGAACGACTAATCATGAACGAGTAGGGCGGCCGAGGCTTGGTCTTCATCTCAAGTGATTCCAGTAATGGGTCAGACTTAGGGTCTAGAATCGAAGACGACCGTAGTGACTTAGAAAAACTACTTCCAACAATGAACGAAGAAGCGGTCATCGGACAAAATAGTTGAGCAGAAAGGATCAGAGGTGTGTTATCGTGCACACCTTGGCGAGGTCAAGAGTTCAGCACCTAGGTCGCTTGGCAACTTCGACGACGCAAATAGAGAAAACCATGGCAGCGAAGCGCATCAGCACCTTCGTGACTTAGCAGAGGCTTTGATTTTGTCGATTCTCGATCTGCTCCCATCTTCTCGTCCATCTCATGTTTTCCTTCTTCATTAGCGTCAGTTTCATTAACTAGAGTCGGATCCCTCACATCCACAACAACATCATCATTTTCAGATGGCACATTTTTGTTTCAATCAGCTGCATTCAGCTTCAAATCCTCTACAGCCTCTGTTTCCAAAAGTGCATCACTCATGTCTTCAGCAACAGCAACGGCGAGATTAGAAATCTCACCAGATGCTTTCTCAATTCCTTCCGGTACAGCATGATTCAGAATCTTGAACTCCTTTTGCTCGCCTATTCTGTGTTTATTGTCAAGGTCTTGATTGTGTGGTCCATATCGATCTTGAAAATCAGCCCAATGCATCACGCTGGCAAGAGTGGTTGGAGTGAAGAAGGCAACAACTCCTTGGATCTCTGGACAAAGTCTATTAATGAAGATGTCGATGGCTATTGATTCTAATAAGTGCGTGCGTGACAGAAGAGTTTCAAACTACTCTCGGTACTCTAGTAGAGTTGTTTCTTGCTTCAGTTGGAGCAATGCAGTGATTGCCGGTAGGATCGATTTTCCGATGACCACTGACAGTGGCGGCAGCCAGAATGCTGGCTCTGATGCCATTGATAACAGTAGAGAAGAGAAATGAACTAAACAGTAAAATATCAACTCAATCGACCCCCAATACATCATTTCATATCCTATTTATAGACCTACCCTTCTCATTATTTACCTAATTACCCTCACTTACTATTACCACATATCATACACCAGTAGTTTTTTTTTTTTTGAAAGTTTTCATTCCATTGATGAAAACTTTTAAAGGAAAATTTTATCGGACTGCTATAAGACCAGCTATGATGTATGGTAGTGAATGTTGGGCAATAAAGGGAAAACAAGAGCACAAAGTCGGAGTAGCAGAAATGAGGATGTTGAGATGGATGTGTGGTCATATAAGAAAAGATAGGATTCGAAATGAAAAGATCAGGACAAGAGTCGGTGTGGCACCTATCCAAGAGAAAATGGTTGAAAATTGCTTAAGATGGTTTGGACATGTGCAGAGAAGGCCTTTGGAGGCCCCGGTGAGGAGGGTGGATCAAACAAGATGGAGTCCTATAAAAAGAGGCAGGGGAAGACCGAGAAGAACGCTGAATGAGGTCATTGAACGAGACCTCCTAATCAACAACATATCTAAGGATTGGGTTGTTGACAGAGCACGATGGCGTCGTGTGATTCATGTAGCCGACCCCACCTAGTGGGATAAGGCTTGTTGTTTGTTTTGTTTGTTTGAAAGTTTTCATTCCATTCAATGTTGTTTGAATGGTTGCTTTTAATATTATGCCATCAAGGGAAAAGAGTTCAGTAGATTCTCTCATGAAGAAGTATGAATAAGTTAAGAAGAGATGGGAACCTACAGAAAAGAAATATGATTAATAAATTAACAAATCTTATAAAGAGAAAATAGTTCTCATGCATCTATACACCAATAGTTTTTTATTTTTAAATCTTGTTTTCAAAGTTTTCATTCCATTCAATGTTGTTTGAATGGTTGCTTTTAATATTATGCCATCATTAGACAATTTGGCCTAAATTTGAAACCCCTTAGTTGCCATGAGTTAAAGGCATGCGTCTTGAAGAAGTTGAGTTCACCAATAATATGATGAAGTTCACAAAGATTGATGAATAACATGAGATTGTCTTCCCCCCCCCCCCGGGGCATCATGTCAACTCTGTGGTCTATTCGACCGAATAGCAGCCTAGTAGTGAATGTATTGTTAATTGCTTGTTGATACTGTGTTTGCAAAATCCGTTAATGTACTGTATAAGTGATAATATCTGAAAAGTTGTACAATCTAGATGAATTTGCAGATTATGTTGGGAAAAAGATTGTGTTTCAATCAGTGATGTCTAGGTAACCTGTAGGTTATTAGAAATGAAAATGCCTAACCTTTACTAGTCTCCAAGTGCAACACATTGCATGGATCTCATACGATTCTGGGAGGGAAAAACCAAGTGTCAAGCCCTATAGGAAGGCAATAAACTTGACTGATTACGCATATATAACCTGCCCCAAGTTCTAAATGTGATGAGGGTGTTCACCAAGCAAGGATTTATATAATTGATCAAATTGATTGCTCTTCCTATAATCGTGAAAACTCAGAATCTTTTTCATAAATTATATTATCTAAGCAATATGAAACAGTGTCAAATAAAGGTTAAACCTTTTCATTTTAACAACCTACTGGCTGCTTTGAAGTTGGATTCATTGTCGGCCACTGTTTGAAGAATATTCTTTTTAAAATAATCAACAAACTCATCTATAAAATAAAATTGAACAACTTTTTAATTGTTTTCACTTAAGAGGATGCATAAACGAATTTCACATTATGCTAACTGGCCTCACCAAAAAACATGTCAAACTTCTATTTCTTCACCTAGTTAACCCATCTAAGATAGTATTGCAACTTTTTCTTTTCCACAAGTCATTGTAGTTTTTAGTCGTATCATTCTTCACTCACCTTATTTAAATTGGCACTCCCAACTCATGGTAACCAGGGGATGTCAAATTTGGATCATATTGTCCAATAGCTTGAATCATAAATTTAATGACGTCTATGCAAGTAACATTTAATGATACGCAAGTTTGATAGGAAAAACTATAAATGTATTGGTATACCATTGCATTTTTCCCATTGTCAAAACGATTACTTCTCTTTTCTTAATTTGACAACTTGTTTTGGCTTCAAAATATAGTCCATGAGACCTTTTTGGTGATGCCATTACACTTTTTACCTAGGCTCGTCCTCCTCCTTCGCCTCCTCTTCATTTGAATTTATGTCAACATCCATATTTGAGGGTTTGCAATGGGTTGTTGTTTTGCGTCATTTTTCCCTTTCACTCAGGAAACTTTTGCAGCATCCTTGTGACCCCCAACTTTGTGCAACTTGGTTTTATGGAGCTTCCTTTTGTAACTTTGATGCTAAACGTGCAATTTACAGCATTGGTGTCCAAAGTCACTTAAAAAGTTATCCTTCTAGGATGGGTATTTCCTCACGTTTGATTTTTGTTGTGCTTGCCTATGTTGGCTACCATCTGCAATGCTAATTAAAAATTTGAAAAGCTGAAACGGAAAAACAAAGAACGAGGGGCTATTTGTTAGTTCATTACATAGGTTGTTATATGTTTTAAAGTTGCTGAACACTTGAACTAAGTAGGAAGAATGAAAGCTTTGATGAACTGTACAAGACTAGGAATTGATGACGAATAAATATAATCCTATTTTCCTGCTCATAGTCTAGTCAGCCCTAATCATATACAATCTTATGCAATGGATACAATATCAAAACTTATTCTCAACAGACTTTGATAATCGTTTACATTGATAAACACGGATAAAACTCTGATAAGCTGTTACATAAAATCATACTCCCTCCGGTTCAAAATATAAGATAAACTTTGTTGGAAAGGCCTTTTTTTTAAAAATTATTTTATAAGATAACATTCACTTTTGTCTAAGCATTTAATGATTTTTTTTTCCAATTTTACCCCTAACATATATTCTCTTCCCTCTTTGATTCATTTATTGCATCTTTTATTTATTCTCCTCATTAATAAGGGCTTTTTTTTTTTTTTTTTGGGGGGGGTACATGTCTTACATATTTATTATTTTAAACTGCTTTTGACTAATTTCTTGATAAACATAAATGGATAAAGTTTATCTTATATTTTGAACCGGAGGGAGTATGTGTTTATAAACTTCGATAAAAATTAATATTCATGACTTGAAAAAGCTTTGATAGGTTGCTGTTTTATTTAGTTGAAGTTGTATGTTAATAGATTTGATGTTAGCCTTGCTAAACTTGGATAAAAGTTTGATAGCTGTTGTGTAAGGAAACTTTTAAAACCTTGAAATACAGCAGCTTTAATGCTGAGAGAGAGGGAAAACCAGTATTAAGTTTGAACTTTAAAAAAGAAAACTATACTTCATATTTAGAATGAATGATAGACTGAAAGAAACAGGGCTAAGATAGGAGCTTTGAAAGAGAGAGGCCAAGGAGAAGAATATGAGTGCAGAGGAATGGGATTAGTGAAACCTTTCTTGAACTGGAGTTATAAAACATAAAGTCTTGAACTCTTACATACTAGTGCTTCCTGTGCATCTGGTTGTGCCCATGTTAGTGTGGTAGTCCTGCTTTGTTTCTGTATATTTGCTCACAATACCCTAAGAAACTAATTGCTTACATGATATTTTATATGTAAAACTTTATTTTCTTTTTATTAGAAAACTTTCATATCTTAAAAATTAATTTTGAATGCCAACTTCCTAATAACATACCATTAGACTTAATCATTCTTCTCAATCTTGTTGAAGACACTTGCCTGCCTTGGTGCCGAACTATACAGTCTTAGTGCCTTTCATAGCATGAGAGATGCTGACTGCACCGTTTTCAGGGAGAGAAGCAAGCGCCTTTGTCACTTAGGTGTCTGATTCATGATCATGACTGATTGCATAACAAGATTAATATGGTCCCAATTATTGATTTTAAATTTGGGTTGCAGGTAAAAATTAGGGGAAGGTCTTTGCAATGTGAAGTTTGTGGAGAGAATTCAACATTCACTCAACAGCACTTTCAAGAATTTGATTATGAGAAATTCACTCAGACTCCATTGACTGTGGTATGATTTCTTCCAGCTTTGGTTTCTCTTCACATGTCTTGTAGTTTGACGAGTGTTATAGAATGATCATGAAAATTCCTTGTAATTAGTATATGCAATCAGGGATTATATTAGCACAACTATAGGGATTGTCATGACCTGGGTGATTTCTTGATTTTGGTACTTTGCTAGAAGCTTCTGTTTTACTTAATTATATGTCTATTGCTTTAAATAAAATCATCAAGAAGCATTATCTAATTCAATGAGATTTTAAAATCAAGTACTCTTCGCTTCAATTTCAGGAACTACATCCTTTTCTTCTTTTGGTTACTTCATGAATATGAATCAATATTATTCTTGATAGTATTTGGTCATCTTTTGATTTTATGAGATTTTCGTATGTATTTATAATTCAAAACAAGATCATGAACATATTTTGTAAGAGGAAAGAGTAATTTACCCTTGCTGGTATAAAACAGAGCTATCTTTTGTATGATCTTCAATTTTCATGCCAAATATGTGCGTCTTGAATAACATTTGAATCCATTCTTAGCTGAAAAGAATGAAGCCCTACCAGATAATCCTCTGCCACATGATTAGTCTGATGGGTAAGCCATTATCGAAGTTTCAATTGGCATCATCTATTTTCTAGAAGCCTGAGATTTTGACATGCGTCCACTCAGTCCCTCCATATGCTGTATTTTATTGTGTCTTCATTTATCAGCCCTCTCCTCAGTCGGAGGCACAAATCGTAATGGGGATATATTCAGTTAATGATACATTATTTTCACAAAATAAATCACGTGCAGCAAATGCTTTGAGAAAACAATTCTGCCACTGATCCCCTTCTTCATCCTCCATGTGGTTAATGGAACGTCTCCTGTACTGAAATTATCAGGAAGTAGCTGCACAAAGGAGGGGAAGTCTTGTATAACCTCTCCTCGTTTTTCTCCCCTCTGCAATTGGTTCATGTTTTGATTGAAGATTCTTATAATATTTATTTCCCAAATTTCTAAGGTGGTTTCTGCATTGATTTTTGACCCCTTTTTTTCCAAAATAGAATAGGAGGAAAGATAGGTGGTTAAATTGAAAATTTGAGCATATGTAACTTAGGAGGCTTTAGCTGATGATTGTTGTAATGCTCAGCAGCATATTCAACAACTGTTTTACCTTGATTTGCAGTCACCATTGAAGCTGAACCTTCTTCCTGTGGAATCAAGAATTAGCAGCAAGCAATACGGTGAAATAATTAGTAAGAAAGAGCCACATGTGCTGGTGGATGTGAGACCAACTCACCATTTCAAAATTGTGTCCCTTCCAAAGTCCTTGAACATCCCACTTTCAACCTTGGAGGCCAGGTTGCCGGAAATATCCTCGGCTATAAAGAAAGAAGAGGACAACGTTGGTGTAGCTTCTGGTTCAAGCGTGCAATTGTATGTCGTATGTCGAAGGGGAAATGATTCTCAGCTAGCAGTTCAGTATCTTCAGAAGATGGGTTTTGCTTCTGCCAAGGACATTATGGGGGGCCTGGAATCTTGGTCCAAGGATGTGGACCCAAACTTCGCTTCATATTAGCTGATCGCAGTTTCAAGTGAGTAATCATTTTTTTTTTCCAGGTTACAAAATGCTGAGTAAAAGTATCAAAATTCTGTGCCTCCCTACTACTGGCTTGTAATTTCTCTGTCCTCATTACTCAGTTATACCTTTTTCTGCTAACTTTTTCCTTTTCATTTAAGGGCATAAAAGGCATTTTGCATTTATAAAATTATGGCCAAAGTATATTTTTAGTCTTTTAAGTTTACATAATTTTTGATTCTGGTCTTTTAATTTTCGAAAGTGTGTTTTCAGTCTTTTAACCCTAATGGTGTTAATAAAAATGATGATATTGAAATTTTAAATGTTAAGAAAGCATTCAAATGTTGATATATTAAGTTCAACTTCCAAAATAACAATGGTAGTTACAAAAAATTACATGATTTAAGGTTAACAGTTTTAGGTTTAAAGGATTAAAATGATGTTTTTTAAAAATTAAAGGATCAAACTGAAATCTTTTATGAAGTTAGAGAACCAAAAATGTACTTTTGCCTAAAATTATTCTTAATTTTATGATATTTTTCTTTTAGCTTACTGCATGTTTGTTAATCTGGCTGAGTATTTGACACTTACTGGTATGCAACCAGGAAGAATTCTCAGGAATGATTTCATGGTGCTGCAGAATCAAGCAGCGCATCTTATTCATTGAACAGACTTGCAGAGAAACAATTCTCATCAGTTTTATTAGGCTCGATATAGTGACTTGTTTGATAGATTGTTATGTGCAATATTATATAATCGTTTCAAATACTGAGATAATTTTCGTCTATTGTTGGAAGAGGAGTCCTGATTCAATGAAGGGATATTGTGCAGAAAATTCTCAACTATGGTTCCTTGGTATATGTTCCATGTCGGTCATTAGAGGGGGGGTAGAGTTGTTTTATGAAGCCTGATAATAGTATGTCATTCAATAGCCAACATGCGCTTAATTATTTTATAATCTACGGCTGCAATATGTGTTATCATTTTGTTCCTTCCAGGATTAGATTTTGTTGCGGAAAATCTTCTACAGTGAGTTTCTTGGCATCTGTTCCATGTATTAAATACCTTTCATTTAGAGAAGTGGAGGCATTTTTAAGGGTATTGGATATTGGGAAGGAAGTCATCACTCCTCTGGTCCTATTTATAAGATATTTTAAAGCTCACTAAAGAAAATTTTAAACTGTACTAACTTGTTATTAAAATATAAAATCTTTTTTATTTTATACTTATTTAATATATAAATCTTCAAAAAGAAAATAATTATATATACTATAATAAATGAAAGACAAAATAGTATATCTATACTAAAATTTTAATGAAGTGACTCATAAATAGGATCATGAAAAACTTTCCTTATCTGCATTATAAATAGGATCAGAAGAATAATGAGGAAAAGTTACCATTCCACAAAGAAATGATTATATGAAATGTTCTAGCCTTATTTAAATGCTCCACTCTTTTATGTATGCTTCTAGGATTGAGCTTCGTTATACATTCCACGTTGCAGATTAATTTGCACATATTTTGCCCTTCATATTCATTCCTTGTTTGTGTGAGTTGTGAATTTTCAAGGAATTTCATGAATGTCATCCTTAAAACTTTCACTAATTAAGTTCATTAATGATAGCACTGATGGATGGAGGATTGTTGCTCATGTTCTGCTCAGATGGAATTTATCAAAACTCTCATAAAAAGCATATGATTTAAAAGTCACATAAGTATTTAAATACTTTAAAAGTATTAACAAAGGACCACTTAGCACTTGGAAGATTTTTTTTATCCTGAGAATTTTATTTCGTAGCATTTCTACCCTAAATTGTTAGAATATTTTTGCTATGAAATAAAATTTTTACGACATATAAAAGCAAAAAAAAATCTTTTTAGATGCAGTAATTTTTTATTATTCAAAAATTTTCGGCTTATTCTTGATATCAAACAAAAGTTACCTCTCAAATTGCAATGGGACTAAAGGCCCATGATTGTTGTGTGGAGAAGATGCAAATGGTGGCTTGCAAAATAGGGATACACACATTATCCGTTACCGGCCATTTACCTGGGCAAATGATATTTAGGGACCCCTTAAGAATATTAATTATAAGTAATAACTTGGAATTTTTAAAATTCCACGATTGAAATTGCATTTTTAAGTACTTATCTTTTCAATGTGTTAAGTACTCAATGTTAATATTTTCAGCACTAAAACACAAAGAAAAGTGTTTAAAACATGAAAAATGCTTGAAAATGTCAAAGCATCGAAAAAATTAAAATAATAGATACTGAAAATATTTAACTTAAAAAAATTTTCTAATTCCAACCAAGGGTCTCAGTCCTTTTTAAGAATTTGAAATAATTTTCTTGGTATAATAGCTCTGATCTGTGAAACTTACTTGTTATCCCCTTTGGCAATATTTGTTTTTTCCATCTGGAATTTATGCATTTTTGGCCGAATTTTTTATTAGTTATAAAAGGTTTATAATTCTTGTATCAAAAAATGTCTTTTGATTCATGGCCTGTTTGGTATGTTAGGAAAAATTTTAAAAATATGAAACACGAAATGGTGGAGGGAATGGGATGAAGATAAGTGTTAATATATTTGGTATGCTTAGGAGAAATATTTGGTATAATAGAAATAGAAAAGAAATGGATATAAACACAGGAAAAGAAACAAAAATGTGAAAACATGGGGCAAAATGTCTGAAGAAGAATATCTTCTTCATCGCATTTCCCCATGAGAATTCACTAATTTCCAAATTCACTTCATACCCTCTTCTCATTTCAGCTTCGTTCGCAACTTTATTTATTTATAGGGAGAAGGTCTATTTTTGCCATGAAAATTTTAGCTGAGGAGCTGTGAGTATCTGAAAATTGTATTTCAAGCAATATCACTCTGAAAATTTATAAAATGTTATAATGTTGTCCCGTTCATTAGTTAAAGTTAAATTTGACTATTAAAGACATGTTGCACTCCCACATGGCAGTCAATATACCATGTTATCACCACCTCACCTCTGCCTCACTTCTTTCTTCTTTCCACCTCAATTTATAATAAATTGTTTCTGATCCCGTTAATGATGAAAATGATGACGATTCTCGTCAAGTTCCAACTCCGTCCCCAGTCTAGCGGCCAGCGTCCAAGGAAGGAGACAGTGATAGTGCCTCCAACTCCAGCTTATCACTCCTTTCTATAGATGATGAAGACCAAAAGATGATGAACAATTCTGCTTCCCGTCAACTTCGGTTATAGCTCGTTGAATGACTTCTTCTCCTCAGTTTGATTTATGAATAAGCAGGGGAAAGCCAAAGATCAAATTGCTTTCAGCAAAAGATTATACTTTTGAAGATTAAACCCAGGACGAACAATGATTAGAGCAATGGTTTAACAATCGAAGACATATTGAATAAAACAGAGGAACAAAACTTACCTTGTAAACAACTAGTATTCACCGACCACGCATGATTGGATGGAAATTTCAGAAAATTTCTACAAAAATTACAAAGCAAGAACAAGAGAAAATTTCCAAGCATGACGAAAAAAGAAATTCATTGAAGAAGAAAGATTCATCATGTCATTATTTTGCATGCTTTGATCTTAAAGAGACAGCTAAGTAGCACTGAGAAGGGCCATAGGAAGAGGGGAAAGGAAGAAGAAAGAAACATTGATAAGCTTAAAGAATGAGACAGAAGGTCAAATTAAGACGCCAGCGAACAGTGAGATTAAAAAGAGGATAACGACAATGACTTCTTGCAAGAGGAATGGACGCTAGCTCTGAGAAGAGTAATGAGAGAGAAACCCTACCGGCGGCTGAGTTATGGTTATGGTCACAGTGGTTGGAGTCACTTGCAAAGGATTTGATGCTTTAGAGTTTGGAGGATCATATTGCAGATAAGGAGGACACAGAAGCAGTAAGTGAAACTCCCACAAATGTTTTTTTACTTTTGGATCATGAATGGGATTATAGTAATAGTAGAGAGGAAGCACAACCTTAGCAAGCAACTAGACTACATAGGTCGATAAGGCCAAGGGAGATTGATGAAGTTCAATGCAGCTCCGAAGACAAAAAAGCCAGCAGAAGATAAGGATATTTTTGTTCATTTATAATGCTGCCTTTATGACAGCTTGTGCACTATCAATGACGACAAAAGATTTGAAAATAACAATGACATATCTGTCTTTGACAACTTCTTAGTTGGATAACCCATACGTGTGTCTTTGATATTTGATATTATTTGGCAGAGTTTTGATTACAATGTTAGGTGAAGAGATAAACCAAAAACAACTGTGCTCGCTCAATGAAATTCACAAGCTAAATAATAGGGTATGAAGTAATGTTCACGTAAAATTTGGCCCCCATTATTTTTCATAATTGTTGAAATTATTGCATAACTGCATAACCTTTTCAGTTTCCAACATGGGTGCTAAATTTGGCCTGCACGGTAGCGGTGAAGGACACGAAAGTAGAGTTGGGACTAGAAAAGAGGCACATCTTCGATGTGAATTTCATGGTGAGCTTCCTAACATTCAAATGCAAATGACAAGCAATGAATTGGTAATTACAACATCACATGTAGATTAACAATTTCTTGTCATGCAAAACATAATGGCTCTAGACCCAACTTGGAAGGTCCAAAAATATAAGAAACTGATACTTTTGGAGTTTATTGACTACAATTTAGCTAAATGTGATTTCATAATGGCCTTTGCTCTTGTGGGCTATCATTGGTTTTGTGTGCCATTCAGCCCAAGACAATGGATTTCTATTTCTTAGCTTCCATGAGCAACCATTTCAAGAGGAACAAAAAAAGTCAAAAACTAGGAAAGAGAAAGAAGGTTGTCATCAAGGACCTAGGGGAAATGGCGGCCATGGACTGTGTAAGAAAAGGCTATTTCTTTTTACAATCACTACTGTAGAAAACATCTTTATGGTGGTTAAGAAAGCTTTTCATGATAGTTTTGGAGGCAAGTGAATACTCTCAGTATAAAAGGAATACAATTTCACAGTGATTAATAATCGCTATGAAAAATTAACTTTCCACGATGGTTTAAAGAAAATAACCACTGTGGAAATTCATCAAAGAATAGTGCTAAAGGTGTGCTTTCCATGATGGTTAATAACCGTTCAAAGTATTTTTTATGACAGTTAAATAAATAATTGTCGTGAAATGTTCAACTTTTTTTCTATAAATTTCTTTTCAATTTGTATACAACCTCCCTAAATACCAACACCAAACAAACCAATTCCAGCCAGTAAAACAGAAGAATGCAAAATCAATTTAAAGCTAAAATTCAAATCTAACACTAACATAACTAAGTTCCAAATCCTTATTTGATCCTACACCTAATAATCAACAATTTAACCAATCCATATAACCTTAATAAATAATGAACTAAAAAACCTATATTCAACTATATTCAAAATGTCTATTAGCCTATTTTTCAAGCAATGTTGTTGACAACGCATACCTCATTGAGTTGATTTCTTCGGGATCATATGTGGTACTATCTTGGAATGCCTATAAATTAAAAGAAAGGGAGAATTACAATGAAGTCCCAAGCAAGAAAAACAATTAAAAAACAAGTCCTAGAGGTTGTCATTCTCACTATAGGACTTGTTATTATAAGTTGTTGAGGTTGTTATTGGACCTTTCGGTAATCATTCTCTTTGTGGGGACTTAGTTGTAATTCCCCCTAAAAGAAACAAA